AGTAACATCAGTGTTACCTTGAGCAAAATAATTACTCTGTGGCAGTCACCCTACCAGAGGCCCCTGGAATAGTTTGTAACCACAGAGAAATGAGCTGCCAGTTTACATATTTGTTTTGAAGATGTTTTAATTAGGTAGGAAGAGTGACATATATAAAACTAAAGGCCTCGCCCAAGTGTTACAACCTTGGAGAGTTTCAAAACTTGGGGAACCACCACAGAGTAGACCTGAGATCTCACCGCTTTGTCCATGAATGAGGGTGCAACCAGTATATCCTCAATGCTCTGAAGGTTTCAGGGCCTGTATTAGATTTTATATAGGATATAAAAGCATCATCTTCTACAGTGTATGCGTTAGGGCCACAAAATCCCTATCTTGAGATTTTGGCCCGGTCCATACTAGTGTTAAGTGAGTAAGTCCACAGACTTGTGAGTTACTTGTACTCCATTAACCTGTTCCCAAAGGGGAATGCCGCCATAATTGTAGTTCTTGGGGTGTCTAGGCATCACACTGCACATTGCTGATGGAACTTAACTGAGAGTATTAGTGTCTTCATTTATGTGTGTATGTTTCTGCTTGATGGCTAACTATCCACAGAAACTTGTTAATGGGTTTCCTTGGTTTCCTTGATGCCTTTGGACAGTATTTCCTGGTAGTCAGTCTTGTTCTTCAGGAAGCTCCAGCTAGTACCACAACCAAAAGGCTGAACTTTGGTGCTATTTTTCAACATCCAGGCAAAGTGTTGAGGAAACTTTGCAATGTATTTACCCAGGTGGGTTTTCCTGGAGTATCTTGTCTCTTTTTTAATTTTTAAAAATAAAAAAAATATAAAAATATTCTAAACTGTTCTGTTAAACAATACCATCAGTGCAGATCAGAAAATGTTCTTGAGACAACCTGATGGTTAGCAGCCAGAAACTAGTTGGGGACAAAAGTTTTGTGCCTCATCTGGGACAGCATGAAAAGTTGCCTTACTCACCTGTTCTACAAGTCTACTTCTATTCCAGAAGGTAGCATGCAGTTGTAGAGAGAGTCTTATTTTGGCCATTATCCCATCAATAGACTGTGTTGCCTTGATATGAATTAGTGCTAAGGTTCAGAGAACTGGTCCTTGAGATGTGGGTCCAAGGGCCATGCAGGGATTTAAAGGGTAATATCAAGCACACTGAACTGAACTTTTGAAACAACCAGTTTGACTGACCACAAGAACTGATTGAATATGTTCAAAGTGACCAGGGTTTATTAAACACACATACCCTGCTACCCTGCTATTAGTTGAAACTGCTGCATTGTCTTTAAGGGCAGACCTGCCTAACAAAGTTACTGTAGTGAAGCTTTGGTCAGTGAAGCAACATCCAGAAGAGAGTGTAGATGATGAATATGGAAAAATGAACCCCCTGGTTCCAACTTCCTCCTGTTTTGCAAAAACTAAGGCTGGCTCTAGAAGTTCTCCGAGCTTTTCGCTTGATGGGACAAGGTAATAATAAGTACCTCCCATCACAGGTTGATCCATTTTCTCGAGAACAGCTGAATAATCTGAACATCATCATGTCCATTCTTGTCATTGTTCTTTCGATTATAGTCTCAATGCACTGGTTCGGGATAGGGGTAGCTCTGCTGGGATGCTTTGTTAATGAAATACAGAGCTGAGTGTCATCAGCACATTGATGACAACCAGATAATCTTTCTCAGTAGCTTCATGTCTATGATAAATTGTACTGGAGTGAATACTGATCCCTGAGGGACTGCATAAATCAGTCTCCCTCCAATGGTAATGCATTGAGTCATCTTGGCAGTAAGGAGGGTTCTGAAACACAGGGGAGCTATCCTGAAGCCTCCAGACAGATGTTTCAGATAGCACGAGTAACCGTATTAAAACTCACTGAGAGCGCCAACATGATTTGCATGGAGTAATTCATTGTACCACTTGAAGGTGGATACCAGGGCTTGTAAACAGTCTGCCCTGTACCAAGGTCTGAAGCTAGACTGATATGGGTCACATAAAGAACTACCATTCTGGAAGAGTTGTAGTTGCTCTGCCACTTTATGCTCAACCCACTTGCCCCCAAAGGATTGTGACTGAAACGGGTCTAAAGCTTACTAAGTCATCCTTAATTACAGTTTCTTCAGTTAGAGGATGAGCCATGGCCTCATTCAGGGATACAGTAACAATGTTGGTCATTCACCACTCCCTCCAATTCTGTCACAACAAGGCAAAGATTCAGTTTGCTTGTGAAGGTTTCCACTACCCTTAACAATTTAAACTAATCTAAACAATGGCATCAAAAGGCTATGTCAGTCACTGCCAGTACAGACTCTGTAATAAAAGTGGACTCCAAATCAGACCACTGCAAACAACTTTATCAGCAAAAGCACTGCAACAAAACAGACTTTCCTCTGGGCTGCTTCGGGCTTAGGACTTAATCCTTGGAATGCTCATCTGTGGACAAGAATCCACTGATGCCATGATGAGAGACTCTGCTGCTGCTACTGCCACCACCCTATAAACCTGAAACTGAGTTGTATGCTGTGTGTGGCTGGAAATGACACAAGTTTTCTGTCAGCACACTTCCAGACATTGCCCATCTAACTTTGTTTCTCTTCTCCTCAGTATATCAAGGAGCTGGGGGTCTATGAAGCAGCAGGAGAAAATGGCTGGGGAGTGATTTTGTGGAAAGCCTTGGCCAACCCTTTATACCCTATGGCAAGGGTGTCAAGAGCATTCTGGGTATTAATTGGATCCATGATACTCTGAGGGTGGACCTGTCTATTGGGGGCAAATCCAGGTGTGACAGCACCATGGTAGCTCTTCTGAGCAGCACTGGTCAAGGGTTACTCAACATGGATGTGAACAGTTACAAATCTAGGGACTTCCAAGGCCTGAAACCATCTTTATCACCAGAGATAGGGGATACATTGGATCGTTAGAAGTAAACCAAATGAATTCCTCATCCATTCCTTCAACCCGGGACTAGCTACCTTCTGCATTGGGTATCTGGGATTGGTGAATGACTTATGAGGACTTGTAGTGAATGAAGTTAAAGCTGGTTATGGCCTGTATTTGCAAATAGAACAAGTTGGTCCAAAATGAGAGCACTTGTACCATCAGCTAGATTTTGCACAAAAACGTCAGGTCTGTTGTCTCATCCACAGGTATATCATGTTTTGTTCATTAGAGACCTGGCATTTACCATAATCAGGGGTTACTTGGGATTTCAACACCCACACTCCTTTGAGTGTGACAGGGATTTAATGAGCAACATGCACAACTTTTCCTTTTATTTAAAGTAAACATTCTTCCAGGGCTCTTTTTGTAGCAGGAACTCCTTTGCATATTAGGCGACACACCCTTAATGTAGCCAATTCTCCAAGAGCTTACAGTAGACACTGTAAGAAGAGCTCTGTAAGCTCTTGGAGGATTGGCTACATTAGGGGTGTGTCGCCTAATATGCAAAGGAGTTCCTGCTACAAAAAGAGCCCGTTCCCGCCACCATTCCTTCTTTTCCTATCACCATCTGAATTGTGGATTTTCATTAACATTCATCCAAGTACATTGCTAATGATGGAGCAGATCTCCCTAATTATCTGCCCAGCACTTGATGTCCATGATGGAGGGCTACACCTTCTTGTGCTGCCTTGCAGAAGGGAGCAGGGTTCACAGGAAACCCAGTTTCTGCCCTCTGACTAACCTGGGGACAGTAGTCATTGTTTGTCTGGGTTGGAGGGACAGGTCCTCTCCTCCCCAGCCAATGTAAATAACAAATCTAAATGAGGCTGGGAGACCCAGTAGGCCTAGTACAAAAAGTCTGGAGGTGGACTAGACCAATTTTCTTCTGTTTCAACACATGGGAGTTGGATACTTAGGGTTGGATTCTATGACCGTCTTCCATTAAGTCTTCTTTCAACAAGGAAAAACTTCTATCTGTCACAAAAAAGTCCATCTATTGAAGGATCTCTCTCTTCCTAGAAGGAAGACTTACTAGAAGACAGTCATAAGATCCAACCTTAGTTCCTATACCATGGAACCAGCTGGGAAATGATGTGTACCGGGGACTTATGCTTTTTCTTGTCTCTGTTATTTTGAACATGCTCAGAGAAGCTAAATGAAAGGACAGAGCACCCAGCCCTAGCATGTTCTTTGGAATAGTCTTCACTGGTTCCCAAAGTGGGCAATACTGCCCCCTGAGGGTGCTGGAACAATCCAGGTGGGTGGTCAGAGCCATGGGTGCAATTGGGGGGCATTGAATACAAATAAGGGGGTGGTGGAAGCATAAGGAAAGAAGAGTCCAGAACCTATCTAAAGTAGCCTTTTGGTGGTAGGCCAAATAAGTTTGGGGACCTATAGATGAAGACAACTGTCAGGATTCTTGACTTGGGGGTCATATGACTTATTTGCACCAGTATTATAAGATACAGCAATACAGTTTGCCCAATCAGACTTTCAGGACAAGGAGGAAAAGGAAATTAAAAATACACCTATATCATTGACAGAGAGAAATTCTCTTCCTGTTACAGATGGAGAAACTGAGGTGTATAAGTGTGACGCATACAAACCTGTTTGCATCTGAATGTGTGTGGGAGAATCTTTTTAAAAACAAAAATGGAGCATGCAGCTAAGAGGAAGTCCGCCCCCTCCTATGCACCCTCTTGCTACACTCCATTGCTTCCCCTCCCCCCAGACTGACTCACTTTGGTATCAGAGTTGGATTGGGAGAAAAATCCTTAAAGCAACATAACACAGCAAGGCAAGGTAGGTGAAGGGGGCAGGATTTAGTTCCCTTTGCCTACATGTTCCATTTTAGTTATTAAAAAATGTGCCTCTTGCATTAGGCATGACTATGTTGTGTTGAACCCATTTAGTTTCAGCCTAAGGTTGACCTGAAAGGCCAAACAACTAATTTGATTGCTCCTGGGTTTTTTTTGTTTCCCTTGAAAATGAAGCCGTCCAACATGGCCGCCTCCTTTCTTTCTTGAATCGTCTGCTTTTTCGCCCCTCTCAGGTGTAGCTGACGAAGAGGCCCTGGCAGAGGAATGCAGACGCCGAGGACAAAACGCTTTGCCTTTCCAGCCGACTACTGTCCGGTCTCCAAAGTCCCTCAAGCCAGCCACCTACCCCAAGCATGTCTTTCACATTAATAACGATGAGGATGATGACTTGGTCATGACTGGATGGGAGTCTCCCTTTTATTCATCAGGTGTGCACAAAAGGGGGGACAAGGAACTGGTAAAAACTGAGATGCCGGTTAGCCCAAAGTCAGAATCAAAGTGCCGAGCGAGAGTGTGCTGCTGTGTACTGACTTAACTTGAGCATTTTGACTGCTTGTCTTCACCGCACTTAGACTAGCTTCACGGTAGGCTAGACTGTGCTCATTTGTAACCCACCATGCGGCTAAAACATGACACGGTAGCATTAAAAAGAAATTGTTCAGCTAAGACACCAAGTGCCTTAAATTCACTGCAAATTTCGTTATTGCGTAGATATGGTGACATGGAGCAGTGTCCTGCCTTAAGCTGGGAGAACTGCCACCAGCCCCAAGGAGACTTCCTCCAACTTTAGTGGCTATTCTGCTGAAGGAAGAGTAGCTAAAGTTGAGGAAAGCGTCCTTAGACTTAGTGGAGCAGTAGGATAGAGTCCCCTTTGCTGTTTCCTTACCTCGTTCCAGACCCAGTACCCACAATGGATTTTTTTGGGTTGGCTGTTTTTGCACTGTTAAATAACTAGAATATTTATCTGGGAATTGATGTCTTCTCAACAAACGCCCCTCCTCCTTATTTCCCTGTGCCAGCACACAGCTTCGCTGGCAAAAAGGCGCAGAGAGAGTGCAGCCCACTAAGCATTTCTGAACACCCTTCATTTCAATCAGTGCCTTATCTAAAACATCTAATTTGCCGATTAATGCTACAAGGTTCTTGTTACACTTGGCACCCACCATATTAACAAGCGCTTTAACATGAATAATCCATTGTTCGTGCCATATTTGTTTTTATTGGCTGCCATCATGGAAGAGGAAAGTCTATTAAGTCACTGAACCCAGGTGCATGCTGAGACTCAAAGGGTGGCTGTTCAACTGCAGAGGTTTGATTAGAATCCTGTGTTCCAAGCAAACCATCGCCATTCCTCAAGCAGACACCTCCTTTTTCTAAACCAACTAGTCACTTCTTAGCAGTTTTCCAAGCAAGGTTTGTTTAAACTGACCATAGGGAACAACATGATGGAGTCTTTCTATACTGCATTTTAGACAGTCACTTAAAAACATCACACGAGAATGCACCACACTTGTAGCAAATAGGGGTGTGCAAAAAACCTCAAAACCCGGTATTTTCCGAGTTCGGGTATATTTAACCCAAAAAGTATTGGTATTTCTCGATATTCCTGAATCCCAATACCGATATGGTATACGGATTCAGTAAATATTCGGGAAAACCAAATTTTTCCAGCTCCATTAAACCCTATGAAGACCATTATAGTCAATGGTCCCTATAGGCTATAATGGAGAATAGATCTGGGGCTTGGAGGGGGGGGGGTTGAGGTAGAGGCACCAGATTTGCAGCATAGCTGTTGGTGCATCTCCTAAAAAACCCAAAACTCGCAAGTTTCAAAAAGATTGGTCTGGGGGTTCAGTTTTATGAGCCCCAAAAGAAGGTGCGCCCATCCTCCATTATTTCCAATGGAGGAGGAAAAAGGCATTTAAATGTCTTTTGTAAGTTGTGCTGCAAGTGAACTCCAAAGCAGCAAGTTCACCTGGAAGGTGTTTAAAGGGAAGGCAATCCCTTTAAATGCCAGCTAGCCGGTGGCCTCACCTCAAAAAAAATCATGAATATTTTTGGGATTTTTCAGGCTTGGCCATTTCGGATAGCTTTAGATGATACTGAGCTTTGTATTCAGTTGAAGAATATCCAGAAAATATCAATACAGTGTTCTTTGAGTATTTTTTTAGCTCAGTATAGCTGAATGCACACCACTAGTAGCAAATGTCAAGGAGCCAGAATTAACTGACTCAGTTGCCCTGTGTACTGGAAGAAGGTGCCCTGCGTCTATAGGTGGGGCTTATATTCTGCTTATTCGTCGCATTGGAAGGGAAATGGATGGTTCTGGCCTCTCCCTTGGCCCAGTTGCTTGAGGCATCTGTCCTTAGCATTATCCCTTGCTGCAGCCACCTCTGGCTTTGTGCATCATGTTCATTCTCTGGCCATGTGGCTTTCTGAAACCTGGGAACTGGAACATAATCTGGGGGTGGGAGAGGGAGTGTGCAGGAGTCGAGTCTGACTAACCTTCAGGGTTCATGCAGCCATTATGGGTCAGGGACAGGAGAACAAAGGACAGCACCCTTCCTACGAAGGTCATGTGCAAAGTTATACAAAACTCAGCGTCAAGTAACAGGAACTCCTTTTGCTTAGCATCAAACCCCTCTAGCCCTTTTATCCATAGAATCTCCAAGGGCCCTGTCAGATCTGAACTTTTGCTTTGGCCTTCTCTTTGACAGTCTCTCTTCTCTGCTGCTAGTGGAGACCATCAGGAGGACCCCCACTGTTTTAGAAACATAGAGCCGGAAGACACCCCCAAGGATCATCTAGTCCAACCCCTGCACAGTGCAGGAAATGCATAGCTGTCCCGCTCCCCCAGTGACCCCTGGCTCTGTACCCAGAGGAAGGCCAAAAACCCACAGGATCCCTGGGCCAATCTGGCTTGGAGGAAAATTCCTTCCTGACCCCAAAGTGGCGATCACATTCCCCTGGGCATGTAAGAAAGGGCCAGAGGAGCTGACCACTCGACTCATCCCTTCCTGCCCTCCCTCTCACTGCCTGCCTAAATTCATAGTGAGTGATGGAATCAGCACTCTGCTGTTAGATGGCCTTTGCTTACAAGCCTCCAAAGAGGGCGGGCCCACCACCTCCTGAGGAAGCCTGTTCCAGAGTGGAACCGCCCTAACTGTCAGGAAGCTCTTTCTAGTGTTTTATTCTCCAACTACACCTATCTGGTTGCGACCTGCAGTTATCCCCGCAAAGAGAGGTGTTTTTCTCCAGTACGAGGAGTCTTCCCCTGATGGAGAGGCTGTTCCATTGGTAAAAGAGTCTGTTACATCAGGGTAAGGCTCCTTTTGCTGTTGGAAAGCACATCTGCTGGCTGAACAAATCCCTGGGATTCAACCCATCTAGGAAACTTGGTGATTTTGTCTGCCACCATAAAGAATCAACGGATGTCAGTTCTTGATTATGGAAAACTGATCCCTCCCACATTTTGAGTACCAGTGCTCCAGCATCCTATAGTTCCCCTAGTCTTTATGATTGGCTGGAAACAGTAGTTTCGAGAGAGAAAGTTCATTAGGGCAATTTCCCCCCAAATTCTTTTTCTGGATCTGCAGCAGCTGTGTTGTCTTAACTGTGGTTTGTAGCCCAACAATATAATGTTCAAACCACATGTGTTTTTGGTAGCAAATTGAGCAGTTCCTGGCAAAGGAACTACCATCAGTCTGCCACATCATACTGCAGCAGTGCCAGTGGAGGCACTGAAATAGCAGGCCAAAGAGTGTGTTGCAGGGAAGGATTACTCTTTCTTTGTCTGTCCTTAGACATGTGGAGTCTAGCGTGTATATCTCGCTTTGTGTATATTCTAAATACAAGGATTTCCCTGTAATAATTTTGTCAAAGTTCTGTGTTTTGAGTGGCTATAGGCTATGAAATAACCAGATTCAAAGAAAGTACTATGTGGTTATTTAGATTCTTACATCCTTAACCAATTAGGTTTATCAGGTAGGTATTCCTCTACTGTACATGATAGAGGCAAACTCAGATCAAGAAAATTACCAGTACTGAGGGCAGAAGAGTTATGGAACAGATTTTTTTTAGTTCAGTAATTCACGTAACTGTAGAAGTCCAATGATCATTGCCACCAGTGGTTCCCTAAGATACGTGATAATGGGGTTTTGCCTATTTTGAAATCCATCTATCAGTTCTAGCCTCATGTTCGTTGAGTTGTCAGTGTTGTCTCCTATTGGCAACACGGTGACCCATTTACAAATATCCTGTATCTTGCTGGTGGTTCTTCAGACCCAGTACTTTTTGAGGCCTGTCCTGTCTTGTGGATCATATTGCTTCACAGATTGTGGAGATGTGTTCTGTGACAGTGACTGTTCTAAAAATTTGAGTTTGTCACCTGAACAGGTAATTCTCTCATAAAGAGAGAGCTTCTCTAAAGATCTCGGGTGGCTTGTGGGCAAGATGAAGCTTATAAAGAAGTTTCATTTGGTTTCTGATAGGACTCCCAATTTTTATTCTAGTTGATTACGTTATAGCTCCCTTCATAAGAATGAGAGAACTATTTTTGTATGTATTCCCCAGGTCGATCGCTACTTAGAGCCTGGTAATAAGTGCCTGAGCATCGATTTGTTGGGGGGGGGGGTTGGGGAGGACAAGCACGGTCAGTCCAAATACACTGCTGGCCACTGTCTCAATTTAGAAACAGAGAACTGCTTCTGCAAATGATTTCCTCACCTACTCATTTGAGTGGCATTCCCAGGGAAATCCCCTTGTTCCCACGTGAGGTCACTTCCCCTCCAAAAGAAGTTTGCTTGATTTGTCTTTGGTCTGCTGGAGCAGGACGCTGCAAAGCTCAAAGTACAGTAGGCATTTGAAGAATGTAAGGTTTCCAGTGCAGATCAGTCTAAGGAAGATCAGTTTCCTTTGGTCACGATTGTTTGGAATGGAACCTTTAGACACAGTTGTACCACACGAGGGGTTAAATCCGAACACTCCTGCCCAGCTGACAACAGCTTCCTTCCTCTGGCACAGAGGACTCTGCCGAAAGAGCCTCCTGAGTTCGTTGCAGGCTTCTTGCCCCAGAGGAACACACCATTGTTAGCTGAGTGGTAGGATCCAACCCAATGGAAGGATCCAACCCAATGGTCCAGTTTCATCAAGAGGTAAGCTGCGGTGGCTCAGAGGTTAAGACGCTGAGCTGTGCAGACCGGAAGGTCGGTAGCTCAGCAGTTTGAGACCCAAGTGAAGGAGTTTGAGACCCATGAAGGAGTGAGCTCCCAACTCTGGCCCCGGCTCCTGCCAACCTAGCAGTTCGAAAGCAAGAAATTGCGAGTAGATAAATGGGTACCACTTCGGTGGGAAGGTGACAGAGTTCCATCTGCCCCGGCGTCTAGTCATGCCGGCCACATGACCGCAGAAACGTCTTCAGACAGTGCTGACTCTTCAGCTTGGAAATGAAGATGAGCACCGCCCCCTAGAGTCAGATTTGACTGGCTTTCGAGCGAGGGACACCTTTGCCTTTACTTAAGCTGCTACTGAACTATTTTGAAGGTCCTTTGAATATTTTGTTAAAACATTCTAAGCTTTTCAAAGGCAGGCCTTTAAAAAAATTAAAGGAACTTTAATAAAGCTGGCAGTAATGATAAAACTAAATTTATACCACAATTTTCAGAGTCTCAAGTAATGGCAGACAATCCTCACCAAGGTGAGGACAAGGAGATTCCAAAAGGAATGGGACCCCAGGACCTAAATATTGTATTGGAGAGGGCTGCAGAAAGACCCATGTCAGTAACGTAGTAACAGAAACCACAAAGCCCATGTGGCTCCCAGTATTCCATTGAACCTGGCTAGGAATACGTTAGGGCAGGCCTATGCATGACACTCCTGCCAACCTAGCAGTTCGAAAGCAAGAGATTGCAAGTAGATAAATAGGTACCACTTCAGTGGGAAGGTAACAGCGTTCCATGCGCCTTGGTGTTTAGTCATGCCGGCCACATGACCACGGAAACGTCTTCGGACAGCGCTGACTCTTCGGCTTTGAAACGGAGATGAGCACCGCAACCCTAGAGTCGGACTCGACTGGCTTTCGAGCAAGGGAACCTTTACCTTTACCTTTTATGCATGACGCACAGCCTACTGTTGGCCACATCTCCATGATTCAGTCATAACACTGAATTGAGCATGCCCCATACGGACTCTCCCAGCTGTTTTGGAATGTTTTCTGTGTCAGGGAAACCAGTGTGGGAACTCTCAATGGAGCCGGGAGCCCATTACTGTGAGGCCTGCACTGTTGTGGCCGTATTCTCTTGTTTGGAGATGCTGTTCAGGAAATGGCGAGTGAGCCAGTGGCCAGCAGGAAGAAGCTTGTGCGTATCTGAGCAAAGGCGTGTGGCCCCTTACGGAAGGTGCGCCTGGTGCTTAAAGAGAATAGGGTTTTTAAATTGGGGTGTTTTGCTGCTGTAATGAAGGGGGGATCTAAATGAACACTGTTTTACCAGCCATGTCTCCTCAGGACACAAAGAAGTCAACAAGAGGAAGAAGCAGAAGCTGAGGGAGGAGCAGAAGAAGAAGAAGTCGGCCAAGGCGCCTTACTAAAATGGACTGCGATGCCCTAAAACACCGAACCCCCCCCCCCGTGCTCTCCTACTA